CTATCGATTGACTTCTGTACAACCAGCCTGTAGGCTTTTTTTTCGTACGATTACTGCCGCCGGGTATAGCTAGCAGCACTAATCATTGTATTCTAAAGCACAGGAAACCCGTGGTTGAAGGAAAGAAAATTGCTTAATGTATGGCCAGCCTTAAATGGAAATCCATTACGATCCCTGTGCTAAAGTAACATAGAATATTGTTTCTAGAGGTACATTGTGAATCGTACGGTTACATGATTACGTTATGGTCCCAGGACATAGTATAGTATTGGGACAACACGTTTCACTGTCCAGGAACATTTGTATTATTTTATTCTGACTAAACAGCTGTAGTTACATATAAAATACATAATAAGAAAAGGCTGGCCTGAACATTTTATGTGTGCACCCCAACATCTTTATACACTCCATGTGTGCATCCCGACCCATTATACATTCCATGTGTGCACCCTGACATCTTCTACATTCCACGTGTGCACCCCGACATCTTCTACATTCCACGTGTGCACCCCGACATCTTCTACATTCCATGTGTGCACCCCAACATCTTTACATTCCATGTGTGCACCCCAACATCATACATTCCACGTGTGCACCCTGACATCATACATTCCATGTGTGCACCCTGACATCATACATTCCAATGTGTGCACCCTGACATCATACATTCCATGTGTGCACCACGACATCTTCTACATTCCATGTGTGTACCCAGACATCTTCTACATTCCATGTGCGCACCCCAACATATTCTACATTTTATGTGTGCACCCTGAAATCTATTTTACATTCTATCTGTGCACCCTGACATCGTACATTCCCTATATTGCACCACAACAGTATTCTACACCTGTTTGCACCACACATCATCTACATTAATGTGCATCCGACATCTTCTTATTCCCTAGTGTTCAACGACATGTTGGCCCACCCTTTGCAGCTCTAACATCTTCTACATTTGTGTGCACCCCGACATCTTTACATTCCCTGTGTGCAATCACATAATCTTTAATTCCCTGTGTGCACCAAAACATCTTCTACATTCCCTGTGTGCACCACGACATCTTCTACATTTAATGTGTGCACCACGACAACATTGCTACATTCCCTGTGTGCAGCCACGACATCTTCTAATTCCCAGAAACCAACATTTTCTACATTCCATGTATGCACCCAGCGAAACATTTTGTCCCTACAATTCCAGGTCCACGTGTGCACCCCGACATCTTCTACATTCCACGTGTGCACCCTGTGCATCATCAAGTTCCATATGTGCACCCTGACATCGCTCATACATTCCATGTGTGCGCCCTGACCTACAGTACATTCCATGTGTGCACCCTGACATCTTCTACATTCCCTGTGTGCACCACTTCTTCTACATTCCATGTGTGTACCCAGACATCTTCTACATTCCATGTGCGCACCCCAACATATTCTACATTTTTATGTGAGCACCCCAAACTATTTTACATGTCTCTATCTGTGCACCCCGACATCGTATATACTATATTGCCAAAAGTATTGGGACACCTGCCTTTACACACACACATGAACATTAATGGCATCCCAGTCTTAGTCCGTAGGGTTCAATATGTTGGGCCCACCCTTTGCAGCTCTAACGCTTGGCCACTTTATGCAAAACAAATTAAAAAAAGTTTTGATTTACATAAAATTGAATCTACCAAAAAAAAATAAAAACATAAAACAAAATTGATGTGTATTTATAGACCGTAATTAAATTAATTTCACCAGAAAGTGACATTCTTTCCATGCCATCAACCATATTAGCTGAAATCTTGTCCCAAAGTCCCCCATCTGAATATGAATGCCTTTTACAATTGAGGCCAGGACCCTGTGCAGCCAGTCAAGTTACTCCATTTAAAGTGCTCATCATGTCTTTATGGCAACCTATCACAGTACCACTCTGAATTCACTGAGCTCCTGAGAGCGACCCATTCTTTCACAAATATTTGTAGAAGCAGTCTGCATGCCTAGGTGCTTGATTTTATACACCTGTGGCCACGGAGGTGATTGGAGCACCTGAATCCAATGATTTGGAGGGGTGTCCCAATACTTTTGGCAATATAGTTACATTCCATGTGTGTACCCCGACATCTTTACATTGTGTGTGCACCCTAACATCTTATACATTTTAAGTGTGCACCCTGATATCTTACACATTCTAAGTGTGCACCCTGACCCATCATACATTCTATGTGTGCCCCCCTTTATCTTATACATTTTGAGTGTGCGCCCTGACATCTTACACAGTCTATCTGTGCACCATGACATCTTCTACATTCTATGTGTGCAGTCCGACATCTTCTACATTCTATGTGTACAGCCCGACATCTTCTACATTCTAATGTGTGCACCCTGACCCTTATACATTCTAATGTGTGCACCCCGATATCTTATACATTTTGAGTGTGTGCCCTGACATCTTACACAGTCTATCTGTGCACCCTGACATCTTCTACATTCTAAGTGTGCACCCCGACATCTTATACATTCTATGTGTGCAGTCCGACATCTTACACATTCCATGCGTACACCCCGACATCTTATACATTCTAAGTGTGCACCCTGAACATCTTCTACATTCTAAGTGTACAGCCCGACATCTTATACATATTCTATGTTACAGTGTCCGACATCTTACACATTCCATGCGTACACCCCAACATCTTCTACATTCTAAGTGTACACCTGACATCTTCTACATTCTATGTGTACACCCGACATTCTTACATATTCCATGCGTGTGCACCCCGACATCTTATACATTCTAAGTGTGCACCCAACATCTTTCTACATTCTAAGTGTGCACCCGACATCTTATACACATTCTATGTGTGCAGCCCGACATCTTACACATTCCATGCGTACACCCCGACATCTTATACATTCTAAGTGTGCACCCAACATGTTCTACATTCTATGTGTGCAGCCCGACATCTTACACATTCCATGCGTATACCCCGACATCTTATACATTCTAAGTGTGCACCCTGACCCATTATACATTCTATGTGTGTACCCCGATATCTTATACATTTTGAGTGTGCGCCCTGACATCTTACACAGTCTATCTGTGCACCCTGACATCTTCTATTCTAAGTGTGCACCTGACATCTTACACATTCTGTGTGTGCATCCTGACATCTTACACATTCCATGTATACACCCCAACATCTTATACATTCTAAGTGTACACCCTGACCCATTATACATTCCATGTGTGCACCCCGACATCTTACACAGTCTATCTGTGCACCCGACATCTTCTACATTATTATTATACCGGATTTATATAGCGCCAACAGTTTGCTCAGCGCTTTACAATATAATGGGAGACAATACAGCAACAATACAGTTCAATACAAGAGGAAAAGGAGGGCCCTGTTCCTCGGAGCTTACAATCTAGATTCTAAGTGTGCACCCAACATCTTACACATTCTATGTGTGCAGCCCGACATCTTACACATTCCATGCATACACCCCAACATCTTATACATTCCATGCATACACCCCAACATCTTATACATTCTAAGTGTGCACCCTGACCCATTATACATTCTATGTGTGCACCCCGACATCTTATACATTTTGAGGGTGCACTCCGACATCTTACACAGTCTATCTGTGCACCCTGACATCTTCTACATTCTAAGTGTACACCCGACATCTTCTACATTCTATTCTATGTGTGCAGCCCGACATCTTACAAATTCCATGCGTACACCCCGACATCTTACACATTCCATGCGTACACCCCGACATCTTACACATTCCATGCGTACACCCCAACATCTTACACATTCCATGCGTACACCCCGACATTTTACACATTCCATGACCCCCATCTTATACATTCCATGTGTGCACCCCAACATCTTATACATTTTAAGTGTGCCCCTGACCCATATTATACATTCTATGTGTGCACCCCGACATCTTTACATATTGAGTGTGTGCACCCGACATATTATACAGTTTTGTGCCTGTGCGCCCCACATCTTACACATTCTAAACTTGAGCCTGACATATTATACATTCTAAGTGTTGAACCTGACATAACATATATATTCTATGTGTGAACCCTGAGCTATTATACATTCTATGGGTGCACTCTGACCTAAAATACATTTTTATCTGTGTACCCTGACACATTACACACTCTATGTGTGCACCGCAACCTAATATACATTCTATTTGTGTACCCCCACATATTATACATTCTATGGGTGCACCCTGACCTAAAATACATTATATGTGTACACCCCGACATCTTATACATTCTGTGGGTGCACCCTGACATCTTATACGTTCTGTGGGTGCACCCTGACATCTTATACGTTCTGTGGGTGCACCCTGACATCTTATACATTCTGTGGGTGCACCCCGACATCTTATACGTTCTGTGGGTGCACCCTGACATCTTATACATTCTGTGGGTGCACCCTGACATCTTATACGTTCTGTGGGTGCACCCTGACATCTTATACATTCTGTGGGTGCACCCTGACATCTTATACGTTCTGTGGGTGCACCCCGACATCTTATACATTCTGTGGGGTGCACCCTGACATCTTATACGTTCTGTGGGTGCACCCCGACATCTTATACATTCTGTGGGTGCACCCTGACATCTTATACGTTCTGTGGGTGCACCCCGACATCTTATACATTCTGTGGGTGCACCCTGACATCTTATACGTTCTGTGGGTGCACCCTGACATCTTATACGTTCTGTGGGTGCACCCTGACATCTTATACATTCTGTGGGTGCACCCCGACATCTTATACATTCTGTGGGTGCACCCTGACATATTTATACATTCTGTGGGTGCACCCTGACATCTTATACATTCTGTGGGTGCACCCTGACATCTTATACATTCTGTGGGTGCACCCTGACCTAAAATACATTCCATGTGTGCACCCCGACATCTTCTACATTCCATACACATACATAGAACATTAGCGAGGATTACCTGCTCCTCCTCCATGGTCAGGGCCTGTGCCATGCCTTGTGCCTGTCTCTCCTCACTTCCTACTCCAGGCTGGGGATCCTGCAGGGCCTTGCTGGGGATGGCTAGGCCTCTCTGCCACCAGGATACAAGTGCCTGGAGATGGGAGAAGCAGAAGGTTGGTAGGGCGGCCTGCTGCAGACAGCACACACAGAAATAACAGAAAGGAAGGAAAGTCTTAGAGAAGATTTAATATAAACGAGGCATTTTCTTGACAGGGGTGTGGGAAAAGGAAGCAGTCATAAAAATAGATACAGAGATCCAAAAGAAATCCAGACACTCCCTCTAGTGGTAATCATTAATCCTGCAAGTTAATGGAAAGCAACACATCATCACCAACAATCATCTGCAGGCTCCTTACACAGTTCATTGGATTATTTCAATTCAGAAAGGAAAGCTGCAATAATCTAAATTCAAGTATAACGAAAGGCAAAGTTTTTTTTAAGTTTTGGATAGAGTGGAGAGGAATTAGAACATCTGTCAGCAGTGCTGGATTCATAGGGAGGCAAAAAGGGGCAACTGCCCCGAGCCACCTTGACAGAAGGGACCCCCCGCTATACAAAAATAACATAAAACAATATTAAAAAATTATATAAAGTAATTAAAAATAAATAGAATAATATTACTTATATAATAGTAAAAGAAAATCTTTCTTTTTTTAATTGTGGGAAGAAATACTTTTGCCTGTCATCATCTGTAAAAGTTTTTACTCTGGACTGTTATATTGTATCATTTTTAAAATTAATTTTGTCAGCTCAAGCAAACCACACAGAGTGCTTACACTCTCATGGAAGGTGACCTATGACGTCATGTGTCTGTGCACATGTGACCACAGCATGACATTATGTCATGCATTTTGAAAATATATGACTGTCATTAAGAATGTAAACTCTGTGTATGAGGCCCCCCCCCCCAACAATGAAGTGCCCCGGGCCCCCAAGGTCTAAATCTGGCCCCTCCTATCAAGTGGCCCCATTAAAGTGGTTCTAAAGTTTTTTCTTTTACTCGAATGTATTCTATGCATTAAGGTAAAAAAAACAAAAACAAAAAAGACACCTTTTAGTGCCTGTTTTTCTCCCCTTCCCCCAAATACTTACCTCTTGTATGGATCCAGTGTTGTGCCTTGCTTCTGTTCATTGGGTCCTGCTGCTGTCAGTCACATCCAGCAAGCAGAGAGTGAGAGGAGGGGTGGAGCCGAGCCGTGTGTGTCAATAGACATACAAAGCCCAGCTTGGGATCGAACCTACATGTGTGCCACCACAGGATGTGACTTAAGGTGGCACTCGCACCTGGACCCGGTGAATGACTCGGCTAGGACACGGTGACCGACGTTCCTAGCCACCAATGGCGGCATGCGAGCCCCCCATACCCATAAATGCAAATCACGTGTATATACATGTGATTTTGCCCAGCCCTGCCACTCTGTAGCAGTAGTTCTACTATAGGGCAGTGGGCAAGTGGTTAAACCATGCCTTTTTAATTTCACCCATATCTTGGCATGCTACAGGTTCTCTGCTAAATAAGAGGGATTGATTGACTGATAAGAGGTGACTCTTTCTCATCCACAACCATTAACTGAGGAGGTGGGAACAGCAGTAAGTCATAGGCCTAAGGGGGTTCCCAGTCCAGGACAGTAAGAATCCAGGGAGTAGAACTGTTACAGCAAGGGGGACAGTGCAAGTTAATTTTGCACTTTTATTTTTCATACATAAATGTTTCCATTTCCTTGTCCTGTTGTAGCTGCCTGACAATAATGCTACATAATATAAGGCATCATGCACACAGGTGTGTTAGGGGCAAGAAATGTAAAATTCTGGCTTTTTTCAGTGCCTGGGAAGCCCAGGTGCTACGTACAGATACCGATAGAACAGCAATATTTAGCAGAGAACCTGTAGCATGCCAAGATATGGGTGAGATTAAAAAGGCATGGTTGAGCTGCTTACCCACCGCCCTATAGTAGAACTACTGCTGCAGGGTGTCAGGGCTGCATAAAATCACGTATATATACGTGATTTGCATTTATGGGGTGGGGGGGGCGCACGCCGCCATTGGCAGGTAGGGATGTCAATCACCGGATTCTCAGCCGGAGATTACCCGTGATCGCTGAGTAAAGAGGGGGGAGAGACCTATGTGTAAACTACACAGCTCTCTAATGCCAGAAAGGACATGCTGCTTTGTATTTCTCTGCACAACAGAGAAATTCAAAGCAGCATGTCTTCGTTGTAAAACATACACACAGTAAAAAACACACACAAGACACAGTTATCACCCAAAAGGTAACCCCTTCCTGTCCAGTGTCATTAGTACAATGCCTTTTTATTAGCACTGACCACTGTATTAATGTCACTGGGGATGTCAGTGGCAGTTAGTCAGTTCCCACCCAGTGTCAGAATGCCCGTCGCAGTCCCGCTATAAGTCGCTGATTGCTGCAATTACTAGTATGAAAAAACAAAAATAAAAATTCTATTATATATACCATTTGTAGACACTATAATTTTCATGTAAAACCAATAAATTTACACGTATTGGGATTTTTTTTTTTTAAGCAAAGAAATGTAGCAGAATACATTTTGGCCTATATCTATGACAAAATTTGATTTTTAAAAAAAAATTTTTTTATTGGATATGTTTTATAGCAAAAAGTCAAAAATATTGTTTGTTTTTTCAAAATTGTTGGTCTTTTTTGTTTATAGTGCAAATAAAAAAAAAGCACAGAGGTGATCAAATACCACCAAAGAAAAGCTTTGTGGGGAAAAAAGGACGTAAATTTAATTTGGGTGCAGCATTGCATCACCGCGTAGTTGTCAGTTAAAGTAACGCAGTGCCGTAACTCAAAAAATGGCCTGGTCAGGAAGGGGGGTAAATCCTCTGGAGGACAAGTGGTTAAAGTGATTGTAAACCTAATTTAAGAAAAAAAATAATAAACATGTTATACTTGCCTGCTCTGTGCAGTTATATTGCAAAGAGATGTCCCTTTCCACCTCTTCTGGGGTCCCCCGCAGGCGCTCCTGGCTCCTCCTCCCTTAGGGGTGCAAAGTGTACGGCTAAACAATAATAGGTACTAGGAAGTTCAGTCATGAACTTCAGATAGAAACCCCAAGAATGGAGGAGAAAACCTGCACCACACCAAGAGAACCATTCATGATAGGACTTATGAAATACAGTGGGCAAAAAAGTATTTAGTCAGCCCACCAATTTGTGCAAGTTCTTCCACTTAAAAAGATGAGAGAGGCCTGTAATTGGCATCATAGGTAACCTCAACTATGAGAGACAAAATGAGAAAAAAGAATCCAGACAATCACATTGGCTGATTTGGAAAGAATTTATTTGCAAATTATGGTGGAAAATAAGTATTTGGTCAATATCAAAAGTTAATCTCAATACTTTGTTATATATCCTTTGTTGGCAATGACAGAGGTCAAACGTTTCCTGTAAGTCTTCACAAGGTTGGCACACACTGTTGCTGGTATGTTGGCCCATTCCTCCATGCAGATCTCCTCTGGAGCAGTGATGTTTTGGGGCTGTCGCTGGGCAACACGGACTTTCAACTCCCTCCAAAGGTTTTCTATGGGGTTGAGATCTGGATTCTTACGAAGCCATTCCTTCGTTGCCCGGGCGGTATGTTTGGGATCATTGTCATGTTGGAAGACCCAGCCACGTTTCATCCTCGATGCCCTTGCTGATGGAAGGAGGTTTGCACTCACAATCTCACGATACATGGCCCCATTCATTCTGTCCTGTACATGGATCAGTCGTCCTGGTCCCTTTGCGGAGAAACAGCCCCAAAGCATGATGTTGCCACCCCCCATGCTTCACAGTAGGTATGGTGTTCTTTGGATGCAACTCAGCATTCTCTCTCCTCCAAACACGACGAGTTGTGTTTCTACCAAACAGTTCTATTTTGGTTTCATCTGACCATATGACATTCTCCCAATCCTTTTCTGGATCATCCAAATGCTCTCTAGCAAACTTCAGACCGGCCCGGACATGTACTGGCTTAAGCAGGGGGACACGTCTGGCACTGCAGGATCTGAGTCCCTGGCGGCGTAGTGTGTTACTGATGGTAGCCTTGTTACGTTGGTCCCAGCTCTCTGCAGGTCATTCACTAGGTCCCCCCGTGTGGTCCTGGGATTTTTGCTCACCGTTCTTGTGATTATTTTGACCCCACGGGGTGAGATCTTGCGTGGAGCCTCAGATCGAGGGAGATTATCAGTGGTCTTGTATGTCTTCCATTTTCTAATTATTGTTCCCACAGTTGATTTGTTCACACCAAGCTGCTTGCCTATTGCAGATTCAGTCTTCCCAGCCTGGTGCAGGTCTACAATTTTGTTTCTGTTGAATTCGGCAGCTCTTTGGTCTTCACCATAGTGGAGTTTGGAGTGTGACTGTTTGAGGTTGTGGATAGGTGTCTTTTATACTGATAACAAGTTCAAACAGGTGCCATTGATACAGGTAATGAGTGCAGGACAGAGGAGTCTCTTAAAGAAGAAGGTACAGGTCTGTGAGAGCCAGAAATCTTGCTTGTTTGTAGGTGACCAAATACTTATTTTCCACCATATTTTGCAATATAAATTCTTTCCAAAGCAGCCAATGTGATTGTCTGGATTTTTTTTCTCATTTTGTCTCTCATAGTTGAGGTCTACCTATGATGCCAATTACAGGCCTCTCTCATCTTTTTAAGTGGGAGAACTTGAACAATTGGTGGCTGGCTAAATACTTTTTTGCCCCACTGTATGCATTAGATGAGAGTCGCACTCCATAGCAAAATAAACATTATTGCATGAAAAAAAGAAAGCTAGCTGAATACATTGTACATTCTTAGTGTCTCCACCCAGCAAACTGTGCTTGCCATATGCTTTCACTCACTAGCATGCTCACAGTGAAAAAGCATGTAACCCATCCCTGTGAGCAAGCCCGTTGAGTGTGGTTTGTCGGGTTCAAACACTATGTATGTATTCAGCCACCTCTCTTTTTTCATGGAATAAAGCAATATGTTT